CTGACTTAAAACGAGTCCAAGATGAAATCTTGTGGACCATGCATGTAAGCGCACATTGATGTCGGTCATGGGACTCTTTCGTGCTCTGATGCAAAGCCTGTCCAAGCAAGATCCTTGCAATAAATCAACCGCAGCAGAAGTTTGATGTTTACTTCTGTGGGCAGCAGATCTTGCATTGATGTGCCTGCTCTTGCTCACTCGTTTGCCAGTTCGTCGATGGACAAGAACTTCTGAGTGCTTTGCTGAATTCACTGCCCCTGTTTCACCTCTCTTCATGCCTTCATGGCACTTCGAGTTACTCTACAGGTTGCTCCCTTTCTGGTGGTTTTTGGGTGTTTGTTGGGTTTTGTGTGTTTGGGGGCTTGTTTGTGTTTCTTCCTTTCTCTGTTGGGTCGCAACCTGGCTGGTAGCTCTATATTCACTCGACTAAGGTGACTTGTGCACAACCCGTGCAAAAAAAGTTAAAGCTCTAAATGGAAGGATTCCTCTGTCCGTGGTTGAAGACCTGATATGATCGGTCCATAGCAAATCCGGTGCTGTGGGCCCAGCCAACCCGAGGTCGACCAGATGGCGATAGACCGCGTATCTATCGCTTACCGTGTCACCCACGAGTAAAATGCCACTCCTTGTGAGGTACACTTTACCTCCGTCGACTAACAATGGGTGGACAAGAGTGCCGTCGCTGAGTCTAGCACTGGCTCGGCGAAGAGGTTGCGGTAGTTGGATGACTTCATAGCCTGACGGTTCCATGGGGAGGAGAACGTCTAACATCTTGTTTCTGGCTGGTACCACCCCCGCAATTCGTAGGTGGAAATGATCAGGTGGCATCCTTAATGTGAGAGCTACGACATAACAACGATGTCTCGTTTTGGTCACTTCAGTAACGGCCAACGAGAGGTCCAGGGCTGCATCTGCAGATTCTACAGCGTCCTGCGCAGCAAAGGGACAAGCCCATGTTGGTGTTTCTTCTGGCAGCGTGAGAAAGCAGCCTATGCCAGCACTGTCGCTCGGATTTGCAGACATAGGGAGCGGGGGGGCAGCCAATATCTCTTTTCCTGTACAACAGGCTTGAGCCAGATGTACGGGTAGCGGATGTACGGCATGGATGGCCACAAATGACAGGCAGGCATGGATCGAGGGCTCAACCAGTGTCAACAACTCAGCTGAGTAAAACAAACTTTTAGAAAAAGACCATCTTAGCTCTGCCGCATGTGCACGTAGGAGGTCGTTGCCCTGGTTGGGGGCTGGTGAACTCTTTGTCAGCCTCCCAGTATAACAGGTAGGGAGCGATTGCTCGCTGGCTTATCTCAGACGACGTCTTTTGGCGTCAGTGACGACGCGAGCTCTCTTGGTTAGGCGCTCTTCAAAAGAGAGAGCTGTTCCCTGTTGTTGGCTGCTTGATAGTTGCGTTTTCGTCTGACTACTAAATTTGGAGGTAGCGATCTCGCCCCTGCTGCTCCGCCAAGTATGCCGGAAGAGGCAGAGATTTGGCTATCGAGCTCTGCAAGGAGTTCGGTTCGTTTTGCTTGGAGTAGTTCACTCCGAAAAAGAGGCGGGTCAGTTGGAGAAAAGCAATATTGCTGACACAAGAAGCTATGGAGCGAGTTCAGATGATCGTCGGTAGGACCGGGGCTGACCCAAAAGCCATCGTGTAGCCAAATGACCGAGCGGAAACCAAGAATCGGCTGTAAAAAGGTATAAGCAGCCCACGTCAGTTGCTGTTCGAGGTGTTCGTGGAAACGGAAAGGATCAGCACGGTTTCGCTCAATGGCCCTTGCTGGGCACCAGCTTGGTGGATTGTCGATGACGTAACGGCTTGCTGCATGCAGTTTATGTGCGAACCGGATTAGTTGCGCCGGCAGTTGGTCGCACCGGTGCGGAAGTTGACGTTGAAGAAAGGAGATGGCTTCGTGGGGTGTGCCGCTGTTGATGATAATCAAAGGCCATGTTTTTACTAACGTAGAAAGGAGAGCAGGGTCTCCGATTGTGTCAGGGACGTTGAGCATTTCTCGGAGAAAGTCTCTTGCAGTTTGTACTGGAGGCAAAGAGAGATGGACACCCGAAGTCGCACAACATCGCCGTGTGAGTTCATAATGCGCCCCACTAATGTCAACCTCGTAATGATCTGCGCCAAAGAGTAGCAGTCTAACTTTGCGGGGTAACCTTTGCGCAGAAGTACTTGGTGATACAGAATCAGATTCATCTTCTGACTCTGCCGGTCAGGAGAAGGCGAGGTGAGAACACATGCGTGAATGATGATCGGCCGATAGATGCGTGTTCGGCATGCATGGCGTGCAGAAACCCAACAAGTTTTTTAATTTACACAATTTCACTGTGCAAGTGTACAGTGCACTTGGCAACAACAGGCAAGAAAATCCTACTCTTCCTTTTTGCCATTTCGCTAGCACAGTGCCAGTGCTATGTCCATTTGGCCACCAAGAGCAAGCATTACTACTCTGACTCTCTGTCATAAACCCGATTTTGTTTTGGCCTTTTCACTGGGGTGTCCTTGTGATTGTGACTGTCAGATGCATTTTAGACTTAAGACACCCTGACCCCGACTGTGACTCTTGCCTTCAGGCCCGGTCAGAATCGACGGTGTTGACTTCAAGAATCTCCCAAGAGGAGCCAGACACCTTTGAAGGAGGAGGTTGCGGCAGCCTCTCCATGTTTGATACTGCGCGCTTGTGTGTGCAAATGTCAGCCATTGACCCCTGGCGCTTTTCACCTCCAAATGGCCGACCCAAGTTACATGTTTGCAGGAATGATTTGTTTAAGTTTTTAAGTTCTATTTGACAAGCCCCCACTCCACAGCCATATGTTTTCAGTCCCTTTCCCGTGTGCTTTTGTGATGTGAGGTGGGGTTGAGACACGAACGCCCCACAGCATTCCGAGGTATGTCATCGCAAGTGCGTGTTCTGGAGCTGGGTCTGCGAACTACTGCATGCTACTCGCTTTTCAAAACAGGGCGGTCTTGGTTTGTCATCCTGTCAACACCTGTCAAGTCATGTTCTGGTTGAGGTTGTTCACTAATAGGACCACTAGGCGTTCAATGGCCCATAGCAACAGCCCAAATGCCAATGGATGTGTCCACTGTTCCCACAACTTCCATAGTGCGCTGAGGCAGGAGCTGTGCAAGCACACGGAGACGGACTTTGAGGAGATCATTGCGTCCGAGAAGGGTCGGTTGCTTCCTTTCTTGTGCAGGAATTACACCTGTCACTTGTTTTTGCATGCCCTCCAAACTCTTTGGCTTTGTTGTCCAGTGACATTACGTGGCCGTCTCTCACTTGTTATTCATATCTTCAGTATGGATCAAATATATATATATATATGATGACATGATGATGGTAATGTCTATATTATAATATGTTTGATTCAAGTCTGCTACCAATCTTTTGGGCAAATGAGATGATACATGCTGCGTTCTGTTTTCACTACTTTCCCAGGTCTGTCGGACTTGGTAGCCCCCAACGGCATTGACCGAGACCAGAACTAGGTTTGGTTGGAATATGTTAAGCAAGTCGATGCAAGTCGCCAACTCACCAAGCGAGTTAACGCGTTTGATCTCCCCACTGTCCAATGTTATGTTTGGATTCGAGGCAAGTGGCAACATTGGTTTCACTAGGCATTTTCTTAGGGTCGTGCAAGTCTATGAGCATGGCAAGTTTGAGAAATTAAAGGCGTCGTGTTGCCCCTCAACAATTTGTTTTCTCAGGTGAACACATTTTTGATGACTGCCAAAGTGGTCATGCTGGCGGCTATTGCATCGTCCATGGCACGGCTTGTGAGCCAAGGGATCTCTCAGATGAGGGCGGCGAAGAGACCAGTCAGAACATTGTACCGAAACCAAACCTAGGCTACCGGCTACCTAGGGATTTGTTTTTCCAGGTAGTAATTCAGATTTGTTTCATTCAGTTTGCTGGCTGGGTCTCTCTAAGGATATCTTTATTGCGGGACCTCCCTGTACCCCGTACTCTGTTTTGAATCAGAGAAGACGTTCGCAGACAGATGACCCTTTCCATGATGATCCTGCGTCACAGCCTGTCATCGAAACTTGCCGCCACATCAAGAAGAGAAAGCCCAAATGCTTTCTTGTGGAAGAGGCACAAGGGCAAAAATGAGTCACTAAAGGCACAGCAGCAGCACGGTCCCTTATGGTACTTATGGTCATCATGGTTTTCGTTGTGGTACGGGTGCTATGTTCCAGGTTCCCGGGTGGGTGAGCAAGGAATCCGACCAAATGTCACATGGTGTGAAACAGTGTCATGTTTGTTTGTTTGTTTGTTTGTTTATTTCTTTCTGTTGAAATGCCACAACAGACAAGTCACAAGTCCTGAGTGGCAAATCTTGAAGCCGACAAAATCCCACCAATTTTGATTCCTACTGTTCTCTTTACTTTTTTCTCCTCTTCTGCGCTTTGCAGGTGCCAACATTTTGTAAGCCTTGGCCCAAGCAATGCAAAGGCCGCTTCTTCGATCAATATCAGGCCAGGCTTTGTTTGGTCTGATTTTCCAGAGGAAGGGGTTCAAGGTCTGCAGTGCAGGGATTCTTCCACACTGACACTGTCCATGCTCGCTAGCCAAATGAATCTTAATCTCAGTCTCAACACTTTTTTGATAATTGCTGCATTACTGGTTGCAGGCATACGGCATACGGTACATGGTACACAGTTGCGAGAGTGTTGCCTTTCAGTGCAACCATGTCCATGTCGCGACCGCCGTGTGCTCAATTCTGCGCTCAGCATACCACAACGCCAATATGAGTGGCAATAAGGGCCGAAGCTTCAACAGGTCGATAGCGGGTCCACAAAGAACTAGAAGCAAACCAATGGGAAATAGATATTTGATTTATATGATATGATAAGAGATATGACTCTGACTCGACGGATTCTCTGACTCATTTGTCATTGACTCAGAACATTTGCCTGCACCTTGCTTATAGATATTGCAAGTGCGCACTATGGACCATAGTCGTAGTCATCCGATTTTTTGACCCGCATGCCCCTGGCAGCTTTGTGGCAATCCCACGCAGCCAATGAAGCTGCTGCAGAACATGACCTCCAACGGTTGAGGAAGCAGCAGCAAACCGCTAGGGCAAGGACGGCCTCTTTGCTTTCACGACAAAAGCGAAAGCTTGAGAAGGCGCATGAAGCTACCAAGGAGGAGTACTTGAGCCCCATTACCAGTGCCACTATCCAGGATTCATCTGAGGACGTCGTCTCTTTTCAGCAAACATACTTTGCCTCTGCAAGGGAGTGGAATCCGTTGGACAAGGATAGGAAAGTGAAAGCAACGGCAGATGGCAGGAGTAGGGCTGTGTGGCTCTATTTTCAAGCCTTTGCTGCAGCGGTGAAATCTTTATTTCTTGGCGACCGCCCAATGAGCAGTGAGCCTGGAACCATCTCACATGTGATATCGATCAACATTAACGATGACACTGACATCAAACTGGCTACCGGTCGCCGTCGTTCGACAGAAGTTCGCTCTGTGATGAACAACATTCAGCACCATATTGTTGCTCATGCTCACGGTCCAAGTTCTGGTCATGGCCCAGGTGAAAGTGGAGGTCTTGACGCTGAGGGCAAGTCTGCCCAAGAGACTGGCCGTGCTGTGACGTGGTTTTGCTTTCACCAACCTCTTGTAACTTTGGGCTGCGCAGACACAAAGGGTGTTTTCTCTGAGTTCTTGTCCTGGACATTGTGGCTTGCTGGCCAATGTGGTTGGCGAATGCTCCGATTGGGGGTGCCAGCAAATTTGTTTCAGCATGTGCGCTTTCATGTGCTCATCTATTGTGGTGACGCCCTGAGAACCAATGACGCTGTTTTCAACCAACTTGGGAAGATCATCACTGCGCAGCCAGTCCATGCTCCTCCTGGACAGCAAGGCAAATCAACATCCCTTCAAATTCATTGCCAAATACACCAGCTTTGCCTGGTGCGAAAGACATTGGCTTTAGGTTTTGATGGCTACTGGTCGAATTTGGTGCGACTGGGGCACTTGCTGGAGGGACACGGGTTCCGAAGTAAGTTCTATTCTGCGATGACAAAGGTGATCCGGGACAGCTTTCAATACTTTCCGGTTACGGAGCTGCCATCTGACTTTGAATCGTGGCATCGGCTGAAAATCAAACAGCTGAAGCTTTTCTCAGATGGCGGGAACAAGGGCAAAAGCCAGTCTGCATCAAGACGCTTGAGAACGCTCCACCAGCTCTTGCTCAAAGACAATGGCGACCCAAATCAGCCGATGTTTGTGCATTGGTGCTTGGGGCCCAGCTGTTGCGCAGGGGGGTGTGAAGAAGCTGTTTCAAGAATGGTCGAGCAGTATTTGGACCTGTTCGCCTATTTCAGCGTTCCACTGCTGTACAGATGGAAACATGCGGGATCTGCGAACAGTTTCGTCCGCGATGGGTTCTTTTTGCATCGTATTTTGCCACGGGCACTGAGCGCTATCCCAAGAATGAAATGACTCTTGGGCCAGCTTTCAACATACGTTTGCCCCAAGAAGTGTTCTGCCACAGCTTTTTTTGACAAGCTTTGGAGCCGTATCTTTTTTGTGTTGAGTCTAGGGTTGGCCTGGGCGCACAGGTATACTCATTGCATACAATCTCACAGGGTGTCTTGATGTTGTTCTAAAACTCAAGGATCGGTGGGTAGGAAGACTAAAGGTGGGAAAATGACATCTTGAGGTAGAAAGCATTTCCCCGCCCTGATGTTGAATCAATAATTAAGAATCATGACTCATTTTACATTGTATTAACTATTGAGTCAAGATATTTAGCCGAGCGCTGAGCACATAAAAGCAAGGCAATGCACCAAGCACACGTCGACAGAATAATGCGCTGAAGTCGAAACATAGTCTGCAGTCAGTAGTGTAGTGTAGTGTAGTGTGTAGTGTAGTGTGGGGTGGTGGTGGTGGTGGTGGTAGCAGTAGTAGTAGTGGCCTCCGCAACTTGTATGCGGACTTGGCTGCAGCTCAGGTGAGACGGACAAGGTCATGCAAGTTGTCGACAAATGGGCTCAGGCTGCTCAATCAACCAACTCCAACTTAGCGGAGACTCTGGGGAACGCAGTGGATGAGTTGCTGGACCAAGAGTCTTCTTTCGCAGATCAGAACAGGAAACGACTGAAGCTGGTCAGTGCGGCATTTGAGAAGCAGAACTTTGAAACGATTGTCAACGTTGTTGATGTGCTTTTGGATCCCATTGATGTTGGTATCAACCGCCTTCTTGAGCGCAGCTCTCTATTGAAAACCCTTCGCTACAATGATGTCAGTGGACAGAACCGGAGTCTGGAAGAGGTCAGGGGCCGTTCGCAAACTATGTTTTTGAATTGGGCATCTGGTCGCTTTGGGCGCTCAGTTGTGAAGGGGCTGGTTGCTCGGCTGAAGTCTTCTGATTTGGGAAGCCTGTGCCAGAACCAAAGCATGGGCAGTGAGTCTCTTTCACAAACATGCTTTCAGCTGGTCATGTTTGCCACCTCAGACGTGTGGCGGCGATGTGTCTATGCGGTGCAAGCTTTTCCATACTGCTTGTTTGACTTGGTAGAGTGCACAGCTGAAGAGTTCATGACAAAGTGGGCTGGTTTTCAGGCGGCTCTGCATCAGGGCCAATCCTGCATCGATGCCACTTTCAGTGCACGCCTGTTGCGCGCTTACAACTTCGCTGATATGACTGAGGATGCAAAGCTGGCACGCGCTCAGGAAATCCAACGTGTGCTTCGAGACATTGCAGTGTATTGTCCTTTAGCCACCGATGCTGTGGAAAACCTGCACGGCGCTCATCAGTGGGCTTTGCACGTTGCTCGTGGCATGTCGAAATCATCCAGTGTGGCCGCACAGTCTAGTGTCCTAGCTTCACTGCAGAATGAACATGCCCACTTGAAGTCCGTTGTGGATGCAAAGACTTACCCGAGGAAGTATCAAATTGCGAATAGTGCCAAGCAGATGGGCCGCAGCAAGGGCAAAGTGAAGCAGAAATGTCCAAAGGTCAGGGTAGTCAAAGCTGCTCGCCAAAAGAGGCGATCCGTGTGTGGCTGGAATCTTTTTCAGCGGGAGAGAATGCAACATCACGGATGCTTGTCCCCTGCAGAGTATCGGAGTGCTCTCAAGGACATTGGTCAGGCATGGAAGTGTCTCCCACCGGGGAAAAAACAACAGTACCACATGCAAGCAACCCATGAGCAAGCCTGCCGTGATGAGATTGTCACACGGCCTCTGAGATGCAAAGGGCATGTGGATCCGACCGACAACACAGAACACCTGGAGAAAGTAGCAGGTCAGGTGCTCAGTTTCTTTGCTCGGCTCTCCTTATCTTTGACTTTGAACTTTTTCTTACTCTACGACTTTAAGACGGACTGACGGACTGGACTCTGAGTGCATCCTTGTCAAGAGTGATCCTTGTCAAGCGTGGGCGATGGCCCAACCAGAGCCAAACAGAAGGTATAGTATATAAATAGTTATAGCCAGTTATAGCCTAGCGTCAAGGTATAGTGTCGTGTCTGTATATTTTCCACTTTAGGACTCTCTCCGCAGATTTGCAAGTTGTGGATTGTAATTAGAAGGTTTCCTAACACATGTCAAATGTCAAACTCTCTCTCTCTCTGTGTGCATGCTCTCTTTCTGTTTTGTTTTGACCTTCGCAAAGGACGACATTTTCTTTCGAAAGTCTCTGCGAAGCGGATGTTGGAGAACCGAGTGCAGCACCATGCCCATGACCTTTGGAAGGTGCATGGGTTGGGTCTTCAAGATGCTTATGGTGGTATCAGGCTGGGATTGCCATGCTTGACACGACCGACCACTTTTTTACTTTGCTTAGAGTCTAGAGTCTCTTCATTCCGATTCCCACTGTTTATCAAATTTGTCCACCCGTACAGTTGGTGCGTGACTGCCCTGTGCAAGTCGGTGTCAGGTCTGACCTCATTGATTTGAGTACACCTCAAGCCACCATTGATGCAGCGCTTGAGCAGTCCTTGCACGCTCCTTGCAACAATGACCTGGACGAAAACGGCCCACGAGCCGACAATGATGTTGAGGAAAGTGCGGAGGCGCCGGCATACTCAACTTCTTTGAACTTCTCAGAGCAGGGTCAGAACGCCCACCTACATGAGCTTGCCGACCGGTGTGCCAGGCAATTTGGGCGAATGACCGCGGAGAAGCAGCTTTCAGCAGGGTCTCTGGTAAAAATAGAACCGGTGCTTGCCACCCAAATTGGTGGTGCCAGCGCTGGCTTTTTTCTGGGTGTGCATTGCAAGAAGCCTTTGTTGCAGGTGCTTGTTCGGGCAGCTCCAGTCCCACAACGCAAAAATGCATATCATGTGGTGACTGATGATGACGATATGCCATGCTTTGCGACTTCGTTCGAAGCCTTCCATGATATGCTTAAACTCCAAGAGCCCAGCAAGAGCACAGCTTCTTCCAGCCTCGATGCAGTGCCATTGCCATTTGTAGAATTTCGCGTGCAAGTTCTTTCTCACACCTTTCATCGCCATCTTTGGAGCGTGCAGGAGCTTCAAGTGCTGAGCGCCCATGTTTCTGAAGAGTTTGCTATCAGCCTCCTTCCCTCTACTGGTGGAGCTGCCAAAAAGCAAAAGACAGATCGAGACCGGTTGCCGTTCGGATTGAAATTTCAGTCAAAGCCAAGAAAACCCAGGGCTCCGAAAAAGCCAACAACAGCTGGCAAATGCCGGAGAGGACGTGGTGGAAGAGGGCGGGGTCGGGGGAGGCCGCCGCTTCAGCCTTCAGACGCAGACTCTACCGACTCTACCTCTAGCAGTGACATGTGCACCAGTTCTGACTCAGACTCTGATGCTGACAAGGGCTCTGATTCTGGCACGTCGCCAGGTCCAGTGGCGGGTGAGACCACAGCAAATTTGCAGGAGTCCAATGAGGACCTGATTTTGCCCACAGCAATTGCGCATTCTGAGAATGCCAAAGTTGCTGAAGCCGTGCAAGAGTACAAGCGTGAAGCTGTGGCTCAAGAGGCTCAGCCAGTGCGACATCCTCAGCCCTCTGGGGGCTCCTTTTTTGTCAAAGAAGAAGGTTTTGAAGAGGGATCCATAGCCGTTTCGTCCAGAAGCCAGTGCTATCAGTGCAATGAGCGCATTGAGAAGGGGTCAATTCGCTTTAGCTATTTCTGGAACGTGAGAAGGCCATCCAGGTGGTTGCACAGTGGGTGTGTGGTAAGTTTTGTCAGGGCCAACCAGTCTGCTCGCAAGGCCCAAGCGCTCAGAGCCTTGAACCACATTGCCGCAAACGCGGCAGAAGGTCAGAGCGCAAGCGCAAGCAGTGATTCAGATGTGATCAGGGCTGCTGCAGCCGAATTGGTGTCCCAGCTTTCGTGAATTTCAATGGGTTGGGGGGTGGGCTAGAGCCACAAGTCATAAGAAACTAAATGTGTTGATTGACCATCGAGGCTGTCCTTTTCCAATGTTGGTATATTACTCTGAACTTTGCCACTTTGTTCATCGAACCCCCTTTGAAGACAATGTGGACTGGGACGGGCCATGTGGTTGCAAGAGGCTTCTGCGCAGCAGCCCTGCAAACAATCTGAAAGGGGATCAATGATCCATGTTCAATGGAGGGGGGTTGCGAACCGTAACAAATCTCGAGTTGCTGCTTGCTTTGATATCTGAAACGTGAGTCGTAGGGGCTTGCCGCTATGTTGCATATGCCCCCTGGCGTTCGGCAAACGGTAGACGGTAGATGATCAAATGAAGGCATTGTAGATGTAGATGCGGGCGACATGATGATAGATATGATAATTTGTTTTTGGATATCGGCGACCGGTGTTATTATTGAAGCATATGTTTCGATCATTGAGATCTTCGATTCTGGTCTGGTCTATAGCCTATAGCCTATAATAGCCTATGCTACGGTACTGTACTACATGAGTAGTTGATGGGAAGCTGGGGGACATATCAAATGAATCGTATATCATTGCATTGTCACAAGTTACAATCTGTATCTACTAGCTATGATGGGCTTTGTGTTGCTTCTGTTCAAAGGAACGCAGAGTATTGCCAACTTGCCTTCAAATGAGGAATGCCTAATGACCAGCTTATGATCGGAATAAAGGGTGATCAGCTTATGATATGTTCCGTCGCTATCCCCCGCTACGCGTCAGACTCCATGTGACTTCTTCTTCTACGGCGAGCACGATGGTGAATTGATTGGTGTCAAGGCCATAGAGACCGAATATCACATTGAGGTTGTGACAGTTCGGAGGCTTGCCTCAACTCAAGTGTTGGCAGCGTTGTTGAGGTTAGTCGTATAACAAAACATGATTCTATGATGAGGTGTGGTTCAGATGATTTGTGCTGTTGTCATTTGAACTGTTGATTTTGTGACAATGTGAGAACGGGAAGCCAGTAGTCAGAGCCGTTATGAGTTGTGAGTGAGTCATGAGTCGAATCATGAATGATGACTCATGTCTGGCAGCAACCCATGACTTATGGAAACATTGCCTTTTATGCGGCTGCTAAGGAGCCGGGATTTTGGGAGCCCACAGTGTCGGCAGCGCGTTTATATACTTGGATGCCGGGCAGATGTGGTGGGGTGGGCAAACTTTTGCTGCCTGATCAAGTTCTTTCGTGAGCACATCCCATCATGGCATGGGGACAGCAGCATTGCAGAAGTGGTCGAATATGTTTCCAGCTTTGATGGAGTGCCAGAGTTTCCCCACTAGGACTGGATTTGGCTCAGGTTTTTGTTTGCTAGGGTGGGTGGGAGGCTCCTCGCCTATATTTTCTCGTGACTCACCTTGGCAATACCAGAGGGCCTGGAACGGTTCGGAACGGTTCCAGGAACGGTTCCGAACGGTTCGGAACGGTTCCTACACGGTTCCTTCATACACTAACCTCAGCCTCGAGTTAGGCAGGCAGCTCCAGAAGCGGGAGCCCGCAGCCCGCTTCCAGGAGAAAGCAATTCGAAGACCATCCAAGCTGTCACGGAAATCCCGCCAAGAGATTAGTGATTGGCAAAGCATGTTGCAAATGCAGGAAAAAACAGGCCTGCGGCCTGGATGTGGGTCGGGTCGGGTAGCGTAGCTTCTTTCATAGTAGCCTGTCACATGTCTGGTTTCGGGACCTGCGCCTGCCATACTTCCTCTGCCTTTGACCTCAGGCAGCCTTCACCCGTATTCGTCGACCTTGCCAGATGCTTTGATTTCCAGCCTGACGGAAAGAGAGGTGTCCATCCTGGACATCATGTGGTGCTACATCAAGGAGCTTGTTACAGCTTGTTTGATCATGCGTTTTGATTGCCTATGGATGGCCAAGATGACCTCAATAACAATACACTACTAGGCACATCACATCCTTCTTTCCCAATGATTCACCCATTGGCCCATAGGGTATACTATACCATTACTATGACTATGATTGGCGGTCAATGACAATGATGGGCCTGCAATAAGACTATAGAATGAAAGCATATTCTTATTATGATATATGACAATGACTATATACATATATATATATATATTACATGATATTTGGTATGATATTAGGAACTTGGCCAGGAATGAGAACCGCCTGTAACCGTTCGAACCGCTCCGGGCCGTTTGCAAAAAAAACATAATAGTTCCTGAACAGTCTGGAACCGTTCGGAACCGTTCCGGCTTTTTCCAGAAATCAAAAATAGTCAGAAGCCGTTCGGACCGTTTCTAGTTGTTTGGGTTCCAGTCGGTCCAAATCCGTGCAGAACCGTCTGAACCGCTCCGTTCTGTTGAACATGTGCGCTGGATCAAAACATGTTAGTTATAGTCATAGTCATAGTTATACTATGTCTATTGTTTAAGCATCTTAAAACGCTTAATGTAAGTTTAAGACCGTATGGAAACCATTAACATGCAAAAGCAGTTTGCTTCTACAAGATCATAATATCTACAATATCTTCTTAATGTTAAGTTAGAGTCCAACAATATCATAATGACTACTGCATCGTTTCTTGGAACTTCTGAACAAATTCCTTCTGTATCATTGTACTGTGCTTATAGGGGTTCAGTTCTTGCACAGAAGAGAGGGAACTTGGCACGCCCTAGAGTTCTTCTTACGATACTTATATACCCCCCCCAGAAAATTAACTCTACTACTGTGCTACTCGCGATGCTACGCTAATGAGGCTCGGAGGAACACAGCTTCGGGTCCAATCAATCTTGCACACCATCCGCCAGCTGATGCTCCTACACTCGCGCGGTTCTGCACTCCCTATGATGATGAGGAATGAGGATGAGGAATGAAGGAATCTGAGGGTCAGGATGATGCTATAAGTTATGAGCTGTAGGCATGTGGCGCGCGCTTGGGTTTTCATGCATACTTAAGATTTGGGATGCCTGCAGGTGTGCCTCACACACTTGCTCGCTTGGAGCTGCGAGGTCCATCACTTGTGAAGCCAGCTTGCCGCGTGCTGCTCACTCTGCGGTCTGACGCTTGAAGGAGTTGTTCAGCCGGTGATTTATGGGATGATGCACGGCAATGCGCGGGTCTATAGGGATTGCCACGCGTCTAGTAGAATGATGGGCATTCCAAGCGGCATTTCTAGTTCCGTTGGGCATTTCGTGTGAGGAGCGGAAGGGCGACCCAAAGAAACAGCGATATCTTGTGGACCTGGCACGCAGAGAGCTCAGGCTTTAGCTCCGGGCCTGGCTTGCGCCGTGCCAACCCTTCCACCTCTATCTTTATCTCCAAAGACGACTGTATACCGTACCCGCATTAACAACAAATACCATATTATGAAAGTATACAATAGAATTAGAATTGAATAGAGTCGAGTCGAGGTTTTAGAAGAATATATATATATATATATTAGTGATTGACTTAAACATATTTGTTGAGACGACAAGGCTGAAAGGTGACAGGAGTGATAGGAGGGTCTTCGTCTGTGATGGGTAGAGGCTCGAGGCTCGAGGTTTATTGTCTTTTGAATGCAATGTGCCCATAGTGTACCGGTATAGTACTGGTATTGTTGTGAACGCCGCAAGTGCAAGTTTGTAGAGGGTAGGGCTATGTCATTGTGGCTCAGGTAGCCTTGGCAGAGCTTCCCTGAGCCGATACTCCAAATGCTCGGCCATCACGACCCAGAATAAACTCTGGGATTTTGATTTGGGCCGGCTACTCAATGGGCAGGCAGGACTCGGATTGAGAACACGCTACGGTCAAGTCATACAATAAAAACCCATAGACCCATAGACTCTTGGACCGTGGCCCTTGGTTCGATATATGTGAATTATATTCGCTCAACGGGATGGGAGCTGTTCCGAGTGGCTTGCGCAGGAGATCTTATCCATTCAAGGATTCAAGCCTGGTTCGTTGGTGTTTGCGGGCAAGGAGCGGTCCTACAGTTTTGCAAACCGCTTATCCGGACGTTCAGCTGTTCTTGAAAGTCTGACTCTTACCCGGACTGTGAGAACCCCAGTCTTGAAAGTTTTCAGACTTTTGAGTGGCATTGAACAGACAGGGACAGACCACCGAAGGACCTTGCGTTTAAACAATACTAGCAAATACTAGCAGGGTGATAGGCGATAGGTACTTCCGGGTCCAACACTTCCATTAGACGTTAGAGACACACTGACATCCCCATTGACCTCAGGTAATGCTATGACCACCTCCGTTTTGACAGCAGCTCTCTTTTCAATGATGACCTACGCCCTTCCCACCGCGAATGGCGCTCAGATCCTTCAACCCCCCAAACCTGAGCAGCTGCTGAGCACATCGGAGCCTGAGATAGAGATTTCAGGCCCTGGCTCTGACGAAGACTCCCAGAGCTCCACCTTGATTCTTGGGCAACCCATTGTGTGATTGGCCAGCCCATGATTCGCCTCATGCTTGGTTGTTGGTGACGCTGTCACACTCAGTTTGAGGGTTGGTAGCCCTGGACTGGTTAGAACTTCCCGGGCATTGCGTAAAGGTTCTGGAAGGTCCAGTTCTGGACGGCCTCCTCAAAATTTTGAAAGGCATGTGACTCACGTGACTGTGTTGTTTTCGTGTGCTCCACAGTGTTCCACAGCTCACATGACTCATACTATGATGTTTTTACCTTTGGTGTCCCTCATGCCAGGTCCGGTCTAGCTCTTTTGAGTTTGCAATTTGCAAGGCCCACCAAAGGCCATTGCCATGCAGTTGTCACACCTGCCCAAAGCTGCAAAAGGGCGGGCGACTACAGATGGGTTGGTGTACTCATAGAGCAGTGTGCTGTTCTTTTGAGGTCCAGTCCCGTCCGGTCCTGGTGAGAACTTAACTCTGTGGACTCTTTGAGGCATTGAGGCTTGAGGTTTCTGAGGTTTGTTTACTTTTTTGCACTTGCCAGCAAACTGCTGCCTAGCCTTTTGCACAGCGCAGCAGGAACGTTGCATCCTGCATACTCGTGTCCTCCGCTCCGAATTGTCGAAAGGGTCATGGCAGCAGCATCCGGACAGATTCCGCGCGAAGAAGCTTGTGTGTGCATTGCTTGCAAGCAGAAGGTTGGTGCTGAAGATAAGGACTCCGGGCCCCAAACCGTCAATCCGAATGCTCATTTAGAGCAAGAGCAAACGCTTTGCGTTCTCCTTTTCATATCTTTTTGCTTCCTAACTCCTAACTAGCGTCGGTGCTAAGTGCTACTAAGTCTGTGCTAACTGCTATATAAGTACTAAGTGCCGCTTACTAACGTGCTTCATCTCGTTTTCTTCAGTTGAAACCAGGACAACCCCGACGGGCATCAGGAAAAGGTCACCATGCTGAAGGATAATTTGGCATTGTGCCGCCGCTGCTTCTATGTGAAGCGGGGTTCTTGTAGGAACATGAGCGTGTCAGAGCTGGTGCATAACCTGAGCGAGTGCGATGCTTTCCGGGACAAGTCTTTGCCTCAGAGTTTGAGTCAGTTCCAGGCTGGAAATCTTGTGGACTGTCGGCTGTGGGCTGATTTTGGATTCGCGCTTTATCATGATTTGAACATGTCGTAGTTCTACACCGGGTCTGGTTCATGGGTCCGTGATTCCACGACTCCGTGACTGGTTTCCCATGACCCTCGTGTGATCTTCTAAGGTTTGACCGGATGAGACAGGCTTCGACAGCGTTCTGCATCCAGTTTCCGGATCGCAAATACAGGCATGAAAAGCCCGACATAAAACTATTGTTGGAAAAGCGAGAGGAGAGCTATGTGGACGTAGCCAGTGAGCCTCGCCAGCATTTTCCGAAACAATGGTCAGTCACGCGTGACATGGTCAATGGTGACAAGTGACAAGTGACACTGACATCACTCATGATTTCGTGTAGTAGGTCATAGTAGCTCCAGATCTGCAAGCTTCCAAATTCCGATTGGGAATTATGTCAAATTTTGTTGTCATCAGAAACAGAGTCAGCGTTGCGATTGATCTGGACTTGATTATACAACCAGACTTTGAGGTGATGACGTGGTATTCTCTGAAGCGGTTTTACGATGAGCGCTACCCGTCCCAGAAGTTCAAGAACGATCAGCAGCGCAAGAGCTTTTGCTTGAAGCGAGGCCTCAAGCTACAGCCAGACGAGCGTGGGGTGGAGGGGATTGCAGTCCCCAAGAACGGGGACGATGAGAAAGAGTTGAAAGTGGGGAAACGAATCTCCGCAAGCCGACTCAAACAGGAAGACCATGGGAGTGAGTACGACAAGGAGGCCGTGAAAGCCAACCACGCCAAAAATGTCGCCAACTCTTGCAACGTTCAAGTCAACTCCCAGGATAGGGGTTGATGGAAATCAGGAACCACAGGTCATCGGCCATGGGGCCGAAGCTTTTGCACTTGGGTTACCAATTACTAGTAGAAAATACTGTTTTGAACGATCCCCAGTCTGCTGCTGAGAGGTGATTTGTCAATATGGTGACCTTTGCTATCTAGTGTCCAGGGTCATCATTACCTGTTACTGTAACATATAGACCTTAGAGCTCTGAGCTCTCCAACAATGGTTGACCCCTTCAACACTTGGCAATTGCAGCGTTCAATCTGGAGTAGAAGTTTTCCCTGGCCTTGGGTTTTTGATTATCTGACCAACTAACTCGACTCGACTCTCCAGGAAGAGCTGGCCAAAGCGCTGCAGAATTCGGATGAGGAGTCAGAAGAGAAGGCCAAGTCTGACGCGGAAGGTGGTGAGAGTGATGCATCCAGCAACTTTGGACTTGGAGGGGGTGAGAAGGCGCGACCTCAAGCTCCTCAACGGCGAGCGCGGGGCAAAGGGCCAGAGAAGTCAGGAGGAGGAGCGCCAGATGCACCTCATGTGCCTGAGAAGGACAAGCAAAAGGTCCAGAGCTTGATTCAAGCAGGTGAGGCTGCTGTGAAGTTCCTGACGCAGGTAGACGCAGCTGCTCTGTGGAAGAACTCCCTGCGCGAAAGTGAAGTTCGCACTCGATTGACCAAGGCGACTCAGGCCAAGTCAGACCTTGAGCAGCAGGAGTCAACGCTGCCAGAGAACTCTCCGTCCTTGGACAAAGTGAAGAAGGCAATTGGGGCATTGAGCGTGTCCTTAGCAGAAATTCCATTCTTGCAAGACATGATGGCCAAGCTGCGGGGAAAGAAGTTGGTGCAGGATTTGGAGAATGAGGCCTTTCAGGACGAGCTTGTCAGCGCGTGCAAGAGCTCATCAATGGATGCCGACACTTTGTCTGCAATTCTGCTGTTCATTGGTCAAAAGACTGCGGAGGCAGGTTTTCCCAAAAGTCTATGTCAGTCGAAGGGAAAGGAAAAGCATATCATCATCCTGACTGTTGCCTTTTTTGAGAATATAGGGGAAACAACTGAACTGTCTTTTTCTTTTTGCCTGGACTCTGTGGATTCCTTTTCTTCGCAGGCGAAGCCCAATTGCTTGCTGAAGCTGGTGAGCACCAGCGAGTCCTTTAAGGGCTGCTACTTTTCCTTTGCCTCCCTCTTCAACATTAGCGATCAGGTTGACCGGGTGCTGCTGCGCTGCCAAATGACAATTGTCCACAACTGGGCTGATTCGCTTCGCAACGCAACTTGGGATTCACTTCGTGAGATCTTTGCTACTGTGGCTTTGAGTGCGGTGATGGCATGCGAGGAGTCAGCGCTTGACTTGTTCAGGCCATGTCTTCCCAATCAGTTCTCTCCAGTCTATCATGTTCTTTAGTTCCTTTGGGGCCACATTTCATTTCCTTGTGTTCATAGACTCATAGACTCATAGATGAACCAATGATTAAATGATGTTTGTTGCAATGTGGGCGGGTCAAGCGTCGGAATCGATTGTCGAAATGTTTGCCCACTCTTAACCACGTGTCCTGTGCAGGGTGGAAATTCCATCAGGGAATCCTTCTGTGACGACTGCGGGGGGGCTCTACATTCCAGAATGAGAGTGGGCTTTCTCTTCAGTTGCTCGTGGACTTGCAAAAGCTTTGCGTTTGCGCTGCTATCCACGAATCGGAGTCCACCAAGAAACCTTGTCCCAATGCCGTGAGGACCTACTTCAAGGAAGCTGGGTCTTGCGTTTGCTACAGTTCCCGCATGAACCTTGCAGTTCGGCAGAGCTCGGCCCTAAAGCAACTTGTGCTTGACTGAGACTGCGTTCCTTTTTTCCTCCAGTTGAGTGACAGAAGAAGAGAAGAACTACCATGGTGACATGGCTGGTTCGAGACTTTGGGGGGTATGCCGTTCAGTGTGAGCCCTTGTTTTGAACTGTGAGTGTCCTTTCTGCCAAGGCAGTTGTGGCAGAAGGCCATGCAAGAGGGCAAGTCTGCCCTAGATGGAGAGTTGTTCATTTCCAAAGCTGAAGAGTGCACCCAACTTCTCAACTCTACCTTGGACAAGTTGAAGAGCGAAGACGGCGCATTGCCCATGATCACAGACGAGTCCGCTCTTGAATCCTTGAAGAACCTGGCCGCAAACAACTTGGCCGACATCAAGCGCCACCTGTCTGGCATGCCAGATGGCAGCAAAGGCAGTGAGGTTGGCAAGGCCCTTGGAACAGCGCTCGAGAGGGTGGAGAAGGTCTGTGAAAATGCGGGCGCGGGTGAGTTGGAGGGCCTTCAGGGTTGGATTGAAACCTTGTGGTCCACGAGTGGGTCTCTGTTGGCTGTCCTCCCACAGAAGGCGGAGGAAGTGGTGGCAAAGCTTCACACCTGCGGTTCCTTGGGAGCGCTAGTCCTAGTACTGTTTCATGTATTTTTGCAGTCTGTAAGTGACAAGTACAGTTTATCTTTTTTACTGCTTGGCATTTGATCGCCCCCTATGAAATTTGAATCGGTCAACGCCAGCAGCCACTCCATGCGTGGGTTCACTACCCAAATCCCACCCTATGATTCTGTCCGGCCCAGCAATCCGAGGTCTCTTGGGCAATGTGGCCATGGTTCAACTCGATGCCCCAACCTTTGCTTTGGAGAGATTCTTGCGGCTCATCATGAAGTATGCCCAAGCTTGTGCAGACGCTTGCGAAGGTGAGGCCTCTCAGGCTCCTGCTGCGTTGAAGCTTGCCAGTGGGTTGCAGGCCGATTTCCACAACATCATGGCTGGCGGTGATTGGAAGGGCGATGCAGAGTTCAACTTCGCAGGTCTCATGAAAGATGCACTGGCTCGACTCTGTAAGGCTGTGGATGAGCTGGGCCTCACTTGGATCAAGGGATTGGTGGAAAGCAAAGAGGGTGAGGTTGGGAGCATTGGCAAGCTTTGTCAAGACACCATTGCGTATCCCACCCCATTCCTGAGCGATTGCATCACAACTTGCGACTTGGTTTTGGCCGCTGAGGATTTGCCAAAGGACTTTGGTGCCGGATTTCACAGTTTTGCTGCCACTTTGCCAAGCTATGTGCGTGTGTCATCCATCAACAAGACGTTGATGGAAACAATCTCCAAGCCAGCCTATGACAAGTGCATCGTCTTCCAGAAGCAGGCAGACGACCGTTTGGAGGAGTTGTGCAGCCAGTTTGAACAGAACGTCAGCCATCTCGACGGTCTGGTGCAGAAGTATGGGCTGCCTGGTGTCTGTTCACGTCTTTTTGGATTTTGTTCCCTGCCGGGCCACTTGAGTTTAGTTTGCTTGGTCCAGAGCGGCCAGGGGCCTTGTTATTGCGATCCATCTTTCATCTTTCTAAGTGTGGGCCTAGCCAACCCAGGGATGTGAAGAAGTGCGCTGCAGCCTGGCAGATGGAAGACATCATGTGGATGTTCTCAGGCTCTGATGATGTGGATGCTGATTGCAAGATGATGTTGGAGATTCGGGATGAGGTGACGGAGGACCACAAGACTCTTGATCGGGTCTTGACTGTTCAGCATTCCTCAAAGGCGTTTGAGAAACAATGTGCAAACCTGTCCCTCTTGGCAGTGAAAGCGAAGGCCGGCTATTTCAGTCGGTGAATTCGCGCACGATTCCCCAAGCGCGGCTTTAACTTCAAAGGGGCCACACACTTAGAATGTAAGTAAGCTCAGTTGAGCACTCAATCCGGGTCTGTGAGAATTAGCCTTCTATTGCGGAAACGACCTGATTCACTCACCTCAGAAATAGCCCTTGGGAACAGGCTGCAAATAAAACCTGTTTGTACGCCACCGATTGGTTGGGTGAAGGAAGTCATTCATGTGGGGCGGGGCAAGTTTCGCGGCAATAGGGCATTTAGGTGGAATGGATCTGATATGATCTGGCCTTGTTTCCAACCAAATGAAGCCCTGGGCCTGGAAGCCCACTTGTTTAATTGTCAGGGTCAGATTCATGGATTAGCCCAGTCCATTCATGGCTTGGGAGGCCTTGCGAGACGATGCTGCACTTGTTGTTGCTCTTATGACGGCGTGCGACCTCTTTCTCAACCCGAAGAAGGACCAAGTCACAGCCGCTAAGGATTGTTTGCGCTTCATGGGGGGGTTGGGGGTCACCAAAGGTGACCTTGCCAACATCTCTGCCACCAGCCTGAATCTGTTGAGGTACACCTTTTGGGGTAGGTCCGGGTTCTTCTCAAGTCACATATGTAATTTTAAATGGACTCTGACTACTTGCTACTTCCATAGATGGACGAACTATGCAAACCTTTTCAACCACGTGGACCCCTTCTACCCCAAAGCTCAATGTTAGAGATCTTGCAAGAGTGTTTCGGCGAATGGACGAAACAAAGCAAACCGTGGAAACACAAATTCAATCAAGTTATGTTCAACATTGATGATACAGGGGTTTGAATATTTGGTCCATCTACTGTTACTACTTACTGACTATTTTTTTCCGTTACAGACTACACAAAGAAGGAAATTGGGCTGTTGGCCCTGTTACGATATGTTTGATTTCAATCGGGTTGACTAGGGTCAGGGTGTGGTTCGTGAGAACTTCTTGGAAATGTTTTGAGGCTAAGCTCGTGTCCCAAATCAATGCTGTCTTGGGAGACGCCGTGGATGCAAAGGGCAGGAAACGCCCGAAATCTGCAAGTGCTACCACCAGTGAAGCGAAGGGCCAGGCAGCTCCTGCGGATGACCAGCCCCGCAAGAGGGGAAAGGCGCAGGAATCCAAGGAACCTAAGGAGAAGAGGTCAAAGCGGAAGAAGGAAGTGCAATGAGGCATGAGCCAAGCGAGTTCTGCAATTATTTTAATCGGGGTGTTTGATGTGAGCCAAGAGCTCACTGTCTGCTGCAATGTCTCAGTTTTGACATGACATCCGACTAACTGACATGGCAAGATTTGTTTGGGGATCCAGGCCATTGCAGATTTTGGCAGTTCCGTTCTGCTGGTTGTAGATGGTGCCTACTGAAGCCCTAGAAAGCCCGAAGACCCCC